TCAATACTAATGGTAAAGCATAGAGATGCAACAACTTAAGCCCCCATTCAACATGCTCATAGTAGGAATGACTGGAAGTGGAAAGACTCAGTTCCTACTTAATATGTTAGAAACAGAGTACAATAGAGTTTTCGACTACATTGTCATTATATGTCCAACCATAGAGTGGAATATGACTTACATTAAATGGACTCATATTAGTGACCACGGAGTTTTACAAATTCCATGCTCACAAGAAATGATCGATCTTGTTCTCAAGGCAGTGTCCACCATATTCCGCGGTACTCAGACTCTCATTATAGTGGACGATTGTGCTGCAAGTCAAGATGTAAAGAAAAGAGTTTCAGAACTGATGCGCCTAGCTTTCTCTGCAAGACATTACAACCTATCTGTCATTGTACTTACCCAACAATTGTCATCAGTAGCAAAGCCCTTTAGAGAGAACATTTCCAGGCTAGTTACATTCTACAACCCTAGTCGTAGGGATATGAAGGTTATAACAGATAATTACCTAAGTGGCGTTTCGCAGGAGACAATTACAGAGATTACGAAGATATTCAGAGATGAAAAGTTCACCGCACTGGACGTACTACTTATTCACCCTTACACATACACTGTTAAACTAAACACATCGTAACATATAGATGGGCACTGGAAAAATGGGAACTGAATCTGAGGAAGAAGTATTTGAGGCTGTAAGAGAAGTAGAGAAGGCCGCAAAGGTGTTGCAGAAAAAATCCAGGTCTCCCGCAAGAAAAACTAAGTCTACCGCAGATAAGTCGCAAACTGAACACAAAAGGGACAAACTTATAGAGCTATCAAGGGACGGTATAATAGAGAAGTCCGCAAGTTTTATAAGAAAGTCTAACAAGGATGTTGTAGATAGACTGTACCATGAGTACGAAAGTCAAAGGATGTCATGTGCAAGTGACTTCTTACCAACACTTATTATCTCAAAGTTTGCTGCGGTACTAGGAAGTTTTGGCGCAGTGGAATCATCAGAGAAACTGTCAGAGGAACTACTTAGTGACAAGCTCCTGAAGGACGATGTAGCATATCTAACCAGAACGATATTCCCCAACATACTATTCATAGGGCTCATATCCGGTGGCTGTACAACAGCTAAACATGTAGTTGCCCATAAGTGGAATAAGAAGGAGGAACCTAAGGAAGTGTCCGAGGAAACTAAACATCTTCTATTACATACAGAATGCCACGACTCGGAGGGCCCTACGACTGGGGATATCTCCGGGAAGGAACAGAATTTGAAGATATAATGAATGAATTGATTGAGAAAACTGATAAAAACAGGGAACAGCTGGATAAGATTCAGGCAAGTCTGGTTTCACTAAAGTATGACTTTGAAACGTTTAAAGATGATACGATAAAAACAGTTGTAAATATATACAAAAATCTAAATGAAATGCAGTAGGCAAAATAATTTTTGGTAATAGGAAGTATACAACGGTAGGAAGCAGCTGGGTGGGCTGAGAGAATGCTGCTCCCTGTATGGTCCCGCTCCGGGTGGATAAAAATAAATCGGAATAAAGTAGCCTAAAAATTTTTTACACATATAGTATAGGAAAGATGGAGCAATTATTCAGGAACCGAAAGTTGAATGTTAGTGTGAGAACCGTTAAGAGTGGTGAGGAGGTACTGTTCTACGCAAAGGATGTGGCAGAAGTACTGAGATACGCAAATCCAAGAAAAGCGATCAGAACCCATGTATGGAGCAAGAATAAAACAACATTGGATGAATTCAAAAGGAGGACCGAATCGGTCCTTCTTTGCGGGAACCAGCCTGGTACGGCTTTATTATATGAACAGGGTTTGTACCAACTAATATTCAGCTCCAAGCTCCCGATAGCAGAGGCATTTCAGGACTGGGTGGTTACGGATGTCCTTCCATCTATCCGTAAAACAGGCTCATACAAATTACCAGAATCTGAGTCACTCTATGGTTAACAGATGAAGCTAACCAATAAAACGGACCTTCACTATGCAGTTGTAAAATACATAAGAAGGTACCACCCAGAAGCGCTTATCATGCCTGGACTGGGAGAGTACCAGAACACGTCGTACAGGAGATGCGACGCTTGGAGAAAGGGATACAGAGGTGGACAGCCAGATCTTATAATAATGACTCCAAGTAATGGCTACCACTGATTTGCAATAGAGCTCAAGATTCCTATGGGCACAGACGAAGTCAGGGGCAACCAGGTGTCATGGCTAAAGGCGCTAAATGAAAATGGAAACCAGACATTAATATCTAATGATTACGCAGAGATAGTGCTGGATATAGAGGATTACTTTAGGGTCAACAAAACAGAGAAACTTCTAAGGGAAATAAAGAATCTAAAGGTAAAGTGTAAAACTCTGAAGTCCAGTAAGGAAATCATAGTTAGACGAATCGGTTACACGGTAGGTAAGTACTAGAGTGGAAATTGTAATAAAACTTAGAAAATGCTCGGCGAATACTGTCGGGCATTTTTTAAGCAATCCCATCTATGTAGACATCTATATAGACATCTATGTAGACATCTATGTAGACATCTATGTAGTTAAACATATGGTACCTATATAGAATGGCTGATGAATCTGATACAAAGAAAGTTCCTGTTACAAGTGAAAAGAAGAAAGACCCGAAGAGGGTAGAGGCTGGAAAGAGGCTAGCGATTCTGAGTAAAGCTGCAAGGGAGAGGAAGATGAAGGAGGTGGCTAAACCTAAGGAGTCGTCTAGTAATGACAGTATGATTACCTACATAGGAGTGGTTATTGCATTGATATCCCTAGTGCTAGCATATAAAACACATCAGAGGGAAACTGGGGAACCAGAACCTGAGTACATCCCTAAAACTGTAGAAGTAACTAAGAGGGCTGATGAGTCCAAGTTAGATTCACTTGAATGATATACTAAACATACCATATATTATAACAAAATGGGTAAGGTAAATACTGACGATGTTGCGGACAGATCAGAGATGGGAGGTGAAGTGTACGATGCATTACTACTTACAGCTGGAGCAATTGGAGTTTCAATGGCATCTAAGAAACTACTGAAGGAACCGTTAGGTACATCAGAGAACACAAAGGGAATGTTAAAGTTAGCTGTCTCTGTTAGTCTTTCATCCCTACTGGTGGCGTACCTGAAGAAACATAGGTTTATCCCTGATAATCCAACTAAACCTGTAAAGAAGAAAAAGGATATCTGAAACATAGGTAAAACTATACAATGGCGAGTGCAGTAGCAGGAGGACTCTTTAATGCATTTGCGGGAGCAGGATACCTATTTAAAATGTTTGATAGAAACGGATACGCTGAGGAAGCTAAAAGACATAACCTTGCAATGGAGAACCTAACAGCTGAAAGAGAAAAGTACCTTGAGGAGGTTACTCATAGGAGAAATAGGATTGCCCAACTGAAGTCAGAACTAGCTGAGGCAAGTAGGGATATCAAGTCAACGAACCAATCATTAGAACTCGTCAGAAGAATCAATGAGATAAGACGTAAGCTATGCCAAGGAAGCCGCAATTGAGTAATCACTACAAACCTAGCTCTGAAATGGAAGAATACAAGGCAATCTTTGGTTTAATTGCAGGTGGGGTGGTTGGAGGGGCAGCTTATTTAATGCTATAGAAAATGCCATAAAAATTTTCACACCTATAAGTATAGGGAAATGGAATGGTTACAGATGGCAACACCTGAGGAGATAGCACATGTAGGTAAAAGGGTAAATACAGTGGAAGAGTTAGAGGCTGCTGTGAGGAAGCACGCAGAGAGTAGAATAAAGAGAAAACACACATATGATCCAATATGTAGTGAATGTGGAAGTAAGTCTATTGTAATGATAGATGGAGCAGATACATGCACACAGTGCGGTGCCAGTGATATGAATAACTTCTCATACTACGTTAGTTACAACTACAACAAGGACGACTATCTGAAGAAGAAGTCTTGTTACAATAGAGTCCGTTGGTTTGAGAGACACTTATTCGAACATGTTGCTTCTAGGGATAGGGACATCATAAGGGAGCAGTTTAGAAGCATCGTAAGATGTATACAAAGACTTAGACTGCAAAGGGGGCGCAACATAGTCAGATACAAGTTTTACCTACTGAGGATAGCTAGTATGAATGGTATCACTTTGACGAACCCTCCCGGGGACATTAAAACTCAAAGGATAGCGGACATCCTAGAGGATAGGTTGTATGGGAAAGTTTTTGTTGAGCTTGGATGGAAGCCTGAAAAATGTAAATATTATAATAAATGGAAAATGAAGAATTTATTATAATAAATGATTAATTTTAATATAATAAAAATAAATGATTAATTTTAATATAATAAAATAAATTATTAATTTTAATATAATAAAAATAAATAATTAATTTTAATATTAAAATAATTGGGTTATTTAATTGGTAATAAATTATTAATTAAATAACCCAATTTTTTTTTACACATATAGTATATAGGAATAGTTGAAAAATATGGCGGGCAACTTTAACATGAACGAATTCAGTGCAGAACAACTTTTGGCTCTCAGCAGTATCATAGACAGTGATGAGGATATAGATACAAGAGTAGAAGACATTCTGAAGGATAGAAACTACAGGATCACACCTGACGATAAGGGCGAAAGCCCATTCCAGGGAGAAAGGCAATTTGTGGATAAAGTTGACCGTGATATGGAAACAAAGAAACCAAGACGTATTCCTAAAAACTATAAGGGTAGAAGAGGAATTATGCCAACATGGAAGTACTCTGACAGGCAAAAGACCAAGGCGCTACTTGTAGAAGAGGCATACCAGAGTTTACTGTCTAGGGGAGTTCGGGGGTTACCACCAACAATGGGAGGTAGATGGCGTACAGACGATGTTCTTGTTAATGAGGAAATTAAGAGAATCGAAAACGAAAGGAATCCTAAGGTAAAGCGTCCCAGAGGTAGACCACCAAAGGCAATGGTTGATGCTGAAGTGAAGGTGCCAAAGAAGAGGGGCAGACCACCAAAGGCAAAGACTGATGCTGAAGTGAAGGTGCCAAAGAAGAGAGGTAAACCACCAAAGGCAAAGACCGATGCTGAAGTGAAAGTGCCAAAGAAGAGAGGTAGACCACCAAAGGTAAAGACTGATGTTAAGGTTAGGGAGCAAACTGTAGCAGAAAGATTCCTGAATCAAAGGAAGGTAAGACTCTCAGTGCCTGCAGATAGTGTCATAACTCCAACAGGTCCAGGTAAGTTTACGGTTCAGGTGGATCTTAATAAGAGACCTGTGAGAAAAGCTCCCAAGGTGCCTAAGGGTGTAGCTCCATGGAGACCAACACCTAAGCCTAAAACGGTACTTCCTAGGGAAAGACCTGTACCGAAACCTAGAACTAAGCTTCTTAATGAAAGACCTGTACCGAAACCTAGGACTAGGAAACCAGTGTCTCCTCCTAAGGTCTGTAAGCCTGTAAGGGTGTCGAGGGAAGTCAAGGAGCAGCCTATAGTGGTTACACCAGAGGAACAAGAAATCGATCCATTTGGAACAGACCTTGAAAAGCCATTCCACAGGAAAATCGAAACAGCCGCAAACGGAGCCGCCGTGACTTACTCGATAACTCCTCATTATATGGACCCTCTGGACCAGATGACTGCAAGTAGACAGGTAGTGAGAGGAATACTTGTGAATGAGTTGAAGAGAATGGGTGGGTTGAAGTACACAGAGACT